GACCTTTGGCTTCCCTTCATCTCTCTGTAAGATGGAACTGCCAGTCTTATCGACACGTTTATTTGCAGGCAGATCTTTTCCAGAGGCTGCAGAAGCATCTCTGCCTTTGTTCTCCAGGTGGGCCAGGGCAGGGGCAGCCCCACACTGCCCTTGCTCACTGGGGGGATTCCTGGACTGGGGCAGCTGAGGGGCTTGATGCTCCCCCAGTGCCCAGCCTGTGCCTGAGGGAAGCACAGGACAGGTATCCCAGCCCTGCATGGGCAGGTCAGCACCCCAAAATCATGGAATATCCCGAGCTGGAAGGGACTCACAAGGACCACAAGTCCAATTCCTGCACGGGGCACCCCAACCATCCTACCATGGCTGGTGGGGCTCCTCTGCCTATTATGGTGTAAAACGTGTTGGGATCCCCTGGGAAAAGGGGGAAGTTGGGCTTAACAGGATCCACTGGCTCCACCACGGTGGGTGTTTGAGTGAGACCTGTCACCAGCCACACCATGGAGTGTTAGTGTGGGCACTCGGTGACACCTCTGGACACCACAGTGTCCCTGCACTCTGGTGCCAGTGAGGTACCCCAGGGTGGCCACACAGCTCAGCCACAGAGACCTGCTGGGTGATTTCATCCCCGAGCTCTTCAGCCTCACTGAGCAGCAGTTGGATCCTCAGAGCACCCGAAATGCCTCTGCACACCTGTGTGTGGGCAGTTGAGTTCAGCCCCTTCTGTCATGCACAGGATTATTGATGAGTGTGAGCAGTGGGACTGCACAGCCCTGAGGGAAAGGAGAAGGAGGAGGAGGAGGAGGAGGAGGAGAAGGAGGGGAGTCACTGCAGTTTGTGTGGGCTTTGACATCACATCTACAGGGCATGACACAAACAGCTCCTGACACCCAGCTCTGCTGGCAGGATGGGGGAGATCCTGGCTGGAATTATATCACCAGCATGGCCCTGGGTATCTGGAGAATAAATGTAAAAGGTTAACTTTGCCTAGTTGGGAAGTGATTTGATGTAGTAGATGATGTCAGTGTGTCCTGTTAGGAATCACAGTCATGGAATGGTTTGGGTTGTAAGGGATCTTAAAGCCTGTCATGCCACGGGCAGGGACACCTTCCACCAGCCCAGGTTGCTCCAAGCCCCGTCCAACCTGGCCTTGGACACTTCCAAGGATGGGGCAGCCACAGCTTCTCTGGGCAACCTGTGCCGGGGCCTCACCACCCTCACAGCCAACAATTCCTTCCCAATATCCCATCCAACCCTGCCCTCTGGCAGTGGGAAACCATTCCCCCGTGGCCTGTCCCTCCATCCCTTGTCCCCAGTCCCTCTCCAGCTCTCCTGGAGCCCCTTTAGGCCCTGGAAGGGGCTCTCAGGTCTCCCTGGAGCCTTCTCTTCTCCAGGTGAACACACCCAGCTCTTCTAGCCAGTCAGAAAGTCATTCCTGGGAATGACTGTGCTATAGAACTGAGGGCCTGGCTGAAGGCAAGGGGAATGTCATCCCTGCTCTGCCCTGAGCAAACTTCATCACAGAAAACAATCATTTTCAGGCACTGTAACTCCACACTGTTTCCCTGCTCCTCCTCCCCCTGCCATGCCTCCTAAAAGGACTCATTCCATGTTTTTTCCTGGAGCTGGCTGGCCTGTGGCTACCTGGGCCATCCTGAGCCTTTTTTGATGATACAAACCTTGCATTCCTCCAGCTGCAAAGATTCTCCACCCATCACGACTTTCCACCATAGAGAGGAGCATCAGCCACTTCTCCAGTGCCTCAGACTTGCACAGCCAGGACCCAATAAGTAAGGCCATGTGGATCCTCGTGGATTATGGATGTGAATCCTCATAGGTTGTGGATGTGAATCCTCATAGGTTGTGGGTGTGAATCCTCATAGATTGTGGGTGTGAATCCTCATGGATTGCACTGTATGTCAGTGTAGACAGCTCTGTATCTCTGCAGTAAGTGAGCTCGCCTGGCCCTGACTGTGAGCTCTGTGCCATGGGACACCCTGTGGGGTGGGGGAAGCTGGGAGCTGACCTGGAGCACACCCAGCTGGCCAAGCACAGGGACACACACCCGGGGTCGGCAGGGACTGGAGGATGCACAAGGACACTTCCCATTGTGCTCTGGCAGCCAGTGCTGGAGCCAGCAGCTCCTGCCTGAGGCACCTCAGGTGAGAGGGAGGAAAGGTTGGTGTGTTCCACATCCCAAAGGTCTTCCAGTCCTCATTTCCCAAGACATGAAGCTTGGATGAATGCTTCCCTTCATCCTCATCTCTGCTCCAACTCCACCCTGCCATGGGACTGGCAAGTGGCTCCTTCCTGGTGCCTGCCCTCAACACACCGAGGAGGTCCTGATGGCTCTCAAAGGGCAGGACAGAAAGTCATATGATCCATCACCTACTTGGGAGGAAGTCTTCCTCCATGAGTCCTTGAGCTGTTGCAATGGAAGGCTTTTTGCAGCAAGGCAGGTGCAAAGAAAGGTAACTCTTGACTAAATATATAATATATATGTATTGCATAAGAGTGGTGAGGCCCTGGCACAGGTTGCCCAGAGAAGCTGTGGCTGCTCCTGGATCTTTGGAAGTGTCCAAGGTCAGGTTGGACAGGGCTTGGGGCAACCTGGGCTAGTGGAAGGTGTCTCTGGAGATGATCTTTAAGGTCCCTTCCAACCCAAACCAGTCTGTGACTCTGGGATTATCTATGTGTGTATCTAGAACTGAGCAGTGATATTTTTTTAGCCAGAAGGGACCTCAAAAGGAAGTGGAAGATGTACTGCATGTACCTGTGTGCAACACAGAGGACATTTGAGGGAACAGTATTGTACAAACCCAGAAGAGTTTTGCTTTCGTTGTCACATTTATCACACATTTAGCACAAGGGAAGTAAGACACAGAATTTGAGAGGAATAGTTTTGCATTGCAGGGGTCCAGCAGCTGTCACCAGCATGGGGTCTCACAGCAGGCAGGTGGTCCTGCTCACTGACTGACCCGTGCTGTCACCTTCAGTGGGACAGGTGAGGTGATGGACATGAATGATCCTGCTGTAACTGTGCCAGGACATGTTCCGTGTCCTCTATTTCCTTTATGGGGGGGTTGGGACACTCAAACCCCTCCCTGTTGGAGGGAGAGGTACTGATCCCCTCTCCTCAGGGAGGATTATCTGATCCAAAACACCAAAGTGATCCTTGGGACTGAGTCTGTGGCCTAGAATGGTCACTTGGGCTCCACACTGTAGGGAAGTGGGGGATCGGGGTGGCTCTGGGGTGCTGGAGCTGTGGGGATGTCCATGGGCCTCTGGGGGTATTAGGAATTCCCTGGAGTCCTGGGGGAATTCTCACTAGAGCAGGAGAGTTGTCAGCGCTCCCTGTGAGGAATCTGGGAGCCCTGGGAGTAACAGGGTCTCCTTGGGAGAATCTGGAAGTCCTGGGAGTATCAGGCATCCCTGCGCACGTGGTGTGTGCCCAGGAGGTGTCACAGCCCCCAGTTCCTCCTAAGCACTGCACAGGTGTGCAGGGGCACCTTGGAGTTCTGAGGCAGCCCAGCCAGTCTGTCATCAGTGCCAGGAGACCCCAGGGAGGGGAGGCACCCCCAGGGTCACTCACCTGGGGGGTGGGCTCGCTGATATCCTTGGGCACAGGATGTGTCACTGGGGGCCAGGGGCCACCTCCCTGTCCACGGTGCCACCAGGGTCAGCCAGGCTGAGCAGCAGCAGTTGGTGCAGAAGGGTCACTTCAGCCTGTGGCACTTGGGGCAGGAGCACTTCTGGGTGGGGGGTGACAGGGACCCCCCAGTCACAGGGCCAGGACCCCAAGGCCATTGGAAGGAAGGACAGGTCTCAGCCCCCTCCACCAATCCCACTGCCCTCCTACTGCCACTGATAACCCTCAAGGGCCCCCATCAACACCAGTCCCTTCACTCTTTACCTTCCCAGTGACCCCCCAAGCCCTGCTGACTCTCCAGCTCCCCCAGTGACCCCCAACCTGCCCCAGTGACCCCTCCAGGGCCTCCCAGTGATGACCCACAGGATCCCACTGGTTCCTCACAGCCCATGACTGCCCTGCCACTTTATTCCTCACTTGCTTTCCCATCCCAAGCTGATGTTGACCCGAGGAAAGAGGTGGATGTGGGTTTGGCCAGGGCCTGGGGGCTGAGCCAGGTGCCTGACATGGGGTCTGTGCCTGCCTGATCTCCTCTGAGTGCAGGACAGTTTTCCCCTGTGTTTGCTATGGCCCTGTTGGTCAAGTCCCTCCCAGAGCACTTATGAGGGGTCTGGCTGTCCCCAAACAGAGCAGGAGGGCTCTGGCCTGTCCCTCCACCTCACAAACATGGGCTGTACGGGACTCACACAGCTCAGGAGGGGTTTCTGTCCCAGACCCTCCCCTTACCTACCTCAGGGCTGGTTCAACCATTCCTATCCCCAAAGCAGCTACTAAAATACTTCGAATCATAGAATATCTTAGGTTGGAAGGGATCCATAGGGATCACTGACTCCAGCTCCCTGCTCCCAATGGGCCACTCTTCCCAGTACGAAGTGCCCCAGGTACGTGGGGCCAGTGGGGGCTGGAAGAATCCCCCTCAGAAGGGGCTGAAGGCAGAGAAATGAGGGGTAAAAAGGATTTTTGGCAGCAGTGTCTCTTCTGCCACCCTCCCTAGTCAGGGAAGTGGGGTGACACAGATGAAAACTTAATTTTCACTGGAAACCTGTCAGAACTGGTTGGTAGAAGAGTCTGGTAGAGTGGGAGAGGAGAACTGTGTGTGTGAGAGGAGCTCAGTGTGACACCCCTCCTCGGGGCAGCCTGCTCCAAAATCCCTGGGACCCACAGCATGTCTCCTGTCCCTCCAAGGCCACACTGTCCTGCTGCCAGGTCTGTCAGGTCAGATTAAAGGTGGGGAAGGGGCTTGGAGATCACCAGGACCCAGCAATAACACTCACCAAAGGCCAAAGGAACTCCCACAGGAGGAGCACCTGACGTGGACTGAGCAGTAATCAGTAAATGAGAGAAGCTGAGGCAATGCAGAATAAAGACTCTTTTATAGAACAGAGAAAGCAGGTGCAGCTCCTGCTGTGTTTGCTGAAGGAGGAAATCAGCTCCCAGCCATCAGTGGTGCTTGTGGGGATCTTCTTTCAGGGGTGGCATGATTTCTCCAGTCTCTAAAATCCTGTCCCCCTGAGGGATGAGAGCGTGGTGAGCAATCCCTCCTGCACCCAGCCCCTCCCTGCACAGCCCAGCCCTTCAGGGAACCTGCAACTTCCCCACTCCCAGACAAAAATCTCACTGCAGCTCACTCAGAACACTCTCCTCACCCAACATTCCCAGGATACGGGAATAATATCACAGCCAAACTACCTGAACCTGCACCTGCTTCACCACAGAACAGCAGCCAAACATTTTGAGACTGTCTTGTTTTAAAAATGTATATTGGACTCATAGCACTGCATAACCCCCTTCAGCACAGCACAGGGTTCAGTGAGTCCAAACCCAGGGCCTGGTGACTATGGAGAGACACATAATCCCTCAAAAATCAACCTGCTGCCCAAGTGCTGCCTGTTCCAGCTCCAGGCACTGTCCTGGCCCACTGGGCTGACCTAAATTGACTGAAAAACTAGGCTGAAGACAGAGGACAACAGCCTGACCTTCAGTATGTTGCTACGTGGTTGTTAGGGATGGAACTTGTTAGAACTGCCAAAAATGTGCAGCTGTCAGAAAGGGCAGAGCTGATTTTCTAGGAGAGTGTTTGCCCTCTGACTTGTTACACCAATCAGTAACAGCTCAGAGCAGCCTGAAGAGAAACCAAGCAATATGACCCTCTCTGCTTAAAAAAACTCACCCCAAACTGAGGTGACACAACTCTTTGGGGACCCCTGAGCATGGGGGACCTGCAGGGACACCCAGGACCAAACCAGAACCAACATTCCCAGTGCTGACAATGAGGAGAAGCAGAACCACTCTGTCATTCCACGTGTTCATAACCACAGAGGCTTTAAACACCCATTCCCAAAGGAAATGTTTGTGTTTTCCTCCCCATGGGCCATGTCAGCCAGGTACTGTCAGCCAGGTACTCCAAAGTCTGCAGCTAGAGAGGAGGTCCCACCGAAACAGGGACTCTCTGCTCCGAGGACATGAGAACTGCCCAAAAACACCGTTCCTGTGCTGCTCCAGGACAGGCTGCCCACAGAACACCCCACAGCCCTCCAGAGTCTCTACTAGGAATTTCTCAGCTGCTGCACAAACTTGCACTTCTCCCCATGGAACCCCTTCCCATCTGCCTGACAAAGCTGGAAGACAAAACAAGTGTTAACAGACTTACTGGGAATATCCGTGGATTTGCCATGACCATTCCATGAGGCTTTTTCTGGAAGTGGGGGGGAGAGAGGGGAAGGGGAAAGAAAAGAGTGTTACTTGGAGGGAGTACAAGTCTTTCCCATTCCCCACACCAGCAGTTGCCCTGGTTATACCCATGGTCACCACTCCTCCAGGAAAGCAACAACTCAGACACAGCTTTCCAGCTCACAGGAGGCAGCACAGGCAAAGCTGGGCACTGCCATAAATCACAGAATCATGGTGTGATTTGGGTTGGAAGGGACCTTAAAGCCCATCTCCTTCCTTCCCCTGCCATAGGCAGGGACACCCTCCACTAGAACAAGTTGCTCCAAAACCCATCCCAACCTGGCCTTTGGACACTTCCAGGGATCAGAGGCAGCCACAGCTTCTTGGGCAACCTGTGCCAGGCCTCACCACCCTCACAGCCAACAATTCCTTCCCAAGTATCCATCTAGTCCCCTGGCCCTCTGGCAGTGGGAAGTCTCCCCTTGGCCTGTCCCTCCATCCCTTGTCCCAAGTCCCTCTCCAGCTCTCCTGGAGCCCCTTTAGGCACTGGAAGGGGCTCTCAGGTCTCCCTGGAGCCTTCTCTTCTCCAGGTGAACCCCCCAGCTGTCCCAGCCCAGCTCCAGAGCAGAGGGGCTCCAGCCCTCGGAGCACCTTTGCTCCAACAGCTCCATGTCCTTCGTGTACTGGGAACCCCAGAGCTGGAGGCAGCACTGCAGGTGGGGTCTCACCAGAGCGATTTTTTATCATGAAGTATCACCAAAAATACATATATTTGTGCCACCTAAGCAAGGAAACACGAGAGGTGGACAGGCCACGGGAGGTCACCTCAGCCTGCAGCCCAAGGTAGGCAGCACGTTCACACCCCCGTGTGGGATCAGCCCTCACACCCCGTGTGGGATCAGCCCTCACCCCCCCCCGTGTTGGGATCAGCCCTCAACCCCCCTCGTGTGGTGATCAGCCTTCACACCCCCCCCCCCGCCCCCCCCCACGAGCTCACTGCGGGGGTTTAACCCGCGCCCCCGCGCCCCGCGCCCCGCACCATGACGTGGTACGTCACGTAGTAGGTGTACGAGCCAGGCGGGGATCAGCACTCCCGCCCCACCAGGATGAACCCGCCGGTCTGGTAGGCCTTGCTACACCTGGCGGGGACAGCGGGCGGGTCAGCGGGGCCAGCGGGCCCTGGGGCCGGGACAGGCGGGCCGCCCGTCCCTCAACCTGCTGCCGCAGACCCCCCGGGGCCCGCAGGAAGCGCTTCCAGAACGCGTGCCACCGGCGAGCTTGCGCGGGGGCAGGACGGGCTCCCGCTCGCCTCAGCTTCCTGGTCCGCAGCCACGGCGCCCGCAGGGCCCGGAGTCTGCTGCAGCCGCAGCTTCTCATTCCTCCGTGTAGCGCCCATGGCCCGGCCCGGCCCCGCTCGGCTCGGCGCAGCCCCGGCCCCGCTCGCTGCCCGCCCGGGCGCGGGCGCCCGTCCTTGTCGCGGCGCTCGAAGTTGAGAGCGGTGGGCGCAGCGCGATTTGACGAGCGCGGGGGAGGGGCCCGTGGCGGACGCGGCGGGATGTATCGTGGTCGAGGGAGGGACCGGGGAGTTCTGCGGGGAACTGGGGGAGCTGCGGTTGTGCAGCCTGGGAGAGAGAAGCTTTGGGGTGACCTGCGGGGAACCTACAGGAAAGATGGGGCAGGACTATGCACAAGGGCACGTATTGACAGGACGAGGCGGAGTGGGTCCAAAATGAAAGAGAACAGGTTTGGATTGGATATTAGGAAGAAATTCTTCCCTGTGAGGGTGGAGAGGCCCTGGCACAGGTTGCCCAGAAAAGCTGTAGCTGCCCCTGGATCCCTGGAAGTGTCCAAGGCCAGGTTGGACGGGGCTTGGAGCAACCTGGGCTCGTGGAAGGTGTCCCTGCCCATGGCAGGGGGTGGAACGAGATGGGTCCTTCCAACCCAACCTATCCCCCTGATCCCATTGATCCCACTGATTAATCCCACTGATCAATCCCACTGATCCCACTGATCAGTCCCACTGATCCCATCGATCCCACTGATCAATCCCATCGATCCCACTGATCGATCCCACTGATCAATCCCACTGATCAATCCCATCGATCCCAATGATCGATCCCACTGATCAATCCCACTGATCAATCCCATTGATCCCGATGATCGATCCCACTGATCGATCCCATCGATCCCAATGCCCCCCCACAGTGTCCCCAGGCCCGGGTCGGTCCCGGCGCGGGCGCGGCGGGGCCGTGGCGCCCCCTGCCGGCGGGGCCGCTACAGCGCGGCAGCCCCCGGGCTGCTTGACCGGAGGGTCGCGGGGTTCGAGCCCGCTCGCGGCCGGTTCCGCTCTCCCTCCGGCGGCTCCTCCCCCGGGCCCTCCCGCCACGCGAGCCCGGGGAATGCGCGGCTTGCCCGCCCTGCCCGGCCCTGCCGCAGTGCCCGCCCTGCCGCTCTGCGCCGCCGGGGCCTGGCCAGGCCGAGCCGGGGCTGCGGCTCCGCTTCAGCGGCGGTTCCTGGCGGCGCGGGCGCTCACGGTCGCTGCCCTGGCCAGCGTACCCGGGGAAGACGGACCGGCGGGCGGGGCGGGGACGCAGGCAGCGCTGCTTTATTGGTTTATTTATTTATCCCGATTTAGGAGCTGGAACAAAACCTGCGGGCTGCGCCGGACTCGCCCCTGCTCCGGGATATCCTGCACCAGGTGGGGACCCCCGGCTGCCGCCGCGTGTGCCCAGAGCCGCCGGAGTCGCTCGGAAATGCAGCGATCCGGGCCCGCAGCGCTTCGCTGGGCCCCGCACAGCTGCGGGTTCCCTTCCCTGCCGCCTATTTGGCTGTGCTTGGATCGAAATTGAGACCCGCGTGCCCGAGCGCTGATGTGGTGGATGGCACAGGCGAGTCTGCCCAGCTGGCCCTGGATGCTCCGGGATACAGGGAATGCTGGAGCCTAAACTGTCCCTGGGGATGGGGAAAAAGCAAATCAGGCAGCAAGCCGAAAAGGAAAGAGGGATGAGAAAAGCAAAAGAAGGAGGGGAGCAAACTGGACTATTCCCATTCAGTTTTGCTCTTTACTCTGAAAGGGAAGATTTTTGCTGCCACAAAAGGTAAGAAATCTGCTGCCCCAGATCTGTAAACTCACAAACCAATCAGAAATCATCAAATTTCAATTTCTGGCTCAGCATCACTTGTACAGACTAAATCCCAATGCATTTCATGGCACCCAGAGCCAATTAATGGTCCTTCTCTGGCCCTCAGTGCCTTTCCTAATCCCTCCCTGGTAACTGGTTTCCGTGGCTGTTCCTGTTTCAGACCGTCCTCCACCCTCTGTGTGTGAAATATCCCCCCTCAACAAAGTACAGGAGGTGCTTTCTGACTGAGCTCATCAAAAAGGTACTGCTTGCTTTTCACTCTTCTTTTTTCCCCTGAAAATATCCCATGTAATAACAAACCACAACAGTCAATGTAAATATTAGGGCCAACAATGTATTAAAGGGGACTTAATGTGCAAGTGTTTTTTGTTTTCATGACAATGTGACCCCCAGAGGTGCCCTTTTCTTCCCACAGCACGAATCCACAGCAGCTGAACCCCTGGATGAACTGTATAATACACTGGCAGATGTTTTAAAAGAAGAAGAATCTACTCAGTGTTACAAAAACTACTTACTGGTAAGCATTGATGCTGCACTGTTCTGAATCACATTTAGTAATCTGAACTAAGCAATAATTGGCTTTAAAAATAACCCTTCAGAAGCCTGGAGTGCTTCCTGCCTTTTCCCAGGTGCCAATATTGATTGTGAAGTGTAAACCTGTTGTCTGTGCTGATCCATCTTTGCCTTCTTGTGTGTCCTCCAGCCCACAGGAGACTGTGTGACCCTTTCTGAGAGCACAGCCATGATCTCTGGGGGCACCACGGGGCTCGTCACGTGGGAGGCTGCCCTGCACCTCGCCGGGTGGGCAGGGGGGAACCCCGAGGTGTTCAGGGCCAGGTAATGGCACAGCACGGGTGGGAAGGGGGAAAAATCCATACAGAATCATGGCACGGGTTGGGGTGGAAGGGACCTTAAAAATGGTCTCATTCTGTTCTTCTGCCACGGGCAGGGACACCTTCCACTAGCCCAGGTCGCTCCAAACCCTGTCCAGCCTGGCCTTGGACACTTCCAGGGATCCAGGGGCAGCCACAGCTTCTCTGGGCAACCTGTGCCAGGGCCTCACCACCCTCACAGGGAAGAATTTCCTCCCAATATCCCATCTAACCCTGCCCTCTGGCAGTGGGGAAGCCATTCCCCCTTGGCCTGTCCCTCCATCCCTTGTCCCAAGTCCCTCTCCAGCTCTCCTGGAGCCCCTTTAGGCCCTGGAAGGGGCTCTCAGGTCTTCCTGGAACCTTCTCTTCTCCAGGTGAACCCCCCCAGCTGTCCCAGCCTGGCTCCAGAGCAGAGGGGCTCCAGCCCCCTGTTACTGTGAGCTATGAAACTATAGTTTAATAATAGACAATATTTATAATTGTAATATTTAATTATAGGCAATATATACACCCAAAATAAGTGAAATCACACCCTTTTGCTGCTGGGTAACTGCTGCTCTTGTCTGTTTTGCAAGTCAAGCTGTAACTCAGGACCTTGTAGTTCTGTCAGGACAGGGGTTAAGATCAAAACCCTGGCACTGTGCAGCCTGACTTGTTTTGAAATTCAGCTGTTCAGTTTTCAGTAATTTAACTGATGCACTTCACTCCTTGCTGGGATCCATCTCACCAGTGTTAGAGGATCCATGTGCAGGTCTGATCACACGTCTGGGCTTTATTTATAAACAGGCAAGAGGAACAAGCACTTTTGAGGAAAGATAATTTAAAATACTGACTCCCAGAGCAACTGTGCTGCCCAGTGTCTCTTTCTCTGTCCTGACTGTGAAAAGAGCCAGTTCAGGAGGAGGCAGATGCAGATGGCTAGAACCAGGTGGGAATGTCTCTCATCCCCACGCTGGGAATGCTTTGTACCATATGCAAAAGCAGCACTTCAGGTAATTAATTTATGCTGACCCTCAGCATTTCCCAGCTCTCCAGTTGTTTGAGATAAAGGTTAGGTTGTGAATGGTTTACTCAAAAATTATTGAAGTTATCTGCAGCTCATTTTACCTTTAATTTTACTTTCAGTATTTTGATTTCCAACTTAATGTAGAGCCCTAATAGTACTTCTTTTACTCTGTTTTCCCTCAGGACAGTCTTGGAATTAGGAAGTGGGATTGGCTTCACTGGAATTGCCATCTGTAAGACCTGCCAACCCAAGACATACATATTTAGTGACTGCCACCCCTGTGTTCTCAGACAGCTGGGAGAGAACATCCGTCTCAATGGCTTCGAAGTGACCTGGTGTATCCAAACAGAGCCCCAAGGGCAGGAGGTGGAAGCAAAGAACTGCCCAAAACTGATGGTTGCAGAACTTGACTGGGGCTCAGTGACAGAGGAGCAGCTGGTGGGTCTCCAGCCTGACGTTGTCATCGCAGCAGGTTCGTCACCCCCGCGCCGGGGGTGGGACCCTGCAGGAGGGAGCAGAGTGGAGGGACAGGGGTGCAGAACTCAGAGCCCTGGCAGGCTCTCGAGGGATGACATCATAAAAAAACCCCAAAAAAACAACCACAGCCCTGTTTTGGACTTGCCCATATATAAATCTGAAGGGTTTATAGAAAATCTGATCTTGGAAAATCGAGTGATAGTAAAACGTCTCAGCTGTAGCTACAGGGTTTTACTCCCTGATTTGGAGCTTGGCAAAGCAAAAATTACCTGAGAGTCCAGGTGAGCAAATGACTTTGTCATCCAAGGTATAACAAGGTGTGAATGTGAATTCTGTAAGATGAAGCCACTGTGTGTTACCCAATGCCAACAGCACTGTTCAGTGCCCAAACCAGCCCAGGCTGGACTCTGAAGATAAGAACTAAGGGAGATTTAGATCTATCTACTCTTTGCTGTCACTCATTACTGCACTAGATTTAGTACTGCATGTTGGATCACAAGTAAGTGCTGTGTCTGTCAGTGGAACAGACACCTCAACACTTCCACACAGCAGCCTCTGGGGATCAGCATTTCGTACCCCTTGGTGCCCACTCTCACCTCCCATCACTATTTCTGCTCTCCAGGAAATGACTCAGGATTCAAATTGCTGCAAGTCCTCTGCCATCAGCCTCTAAAACACCCATTTTTAATAAGGCAGGTTTGTTTTGCCAAGGGCAGTGGTAACAGCACCAACACTCAGTGTTCCTGCTGTCTCCCTTAGGATGGGCCTAAATAAAATATCTGACAATCCATTTACAAAAAGGAGCACGGATTTTTAGTGATTTTGGAGTGATAGTAGGGATGAGGGCATAGCACATAAACCAGAGGCATTTCTGAAGATCTCTCCTTGGGAATTTTTA